CCTTCCGTCGCTGTGATCCGGCTAGACTAAGCGCATGGGTCATTTCTTACCACCACCACACACACACACACACACACACACACACACACACACACACACATTCACCGTGCCTCTCTCGCTCTGCCTGGCCACATGCACATGTGTGAGCAGAAGGTACTGAAGCAGGTGATGGAGGGCTATCTGCTGCTGGGCAGCCTGTGCAGCCGGTTTGGCAGCTCCGACACCATCGACCACGTCGTGCAGACGCTCGGCAAGCGCACATTCCTGCTCGACCTCACCGATCGCGTCAACGGCAAGGCGCTGATGCAGGCCATTGCCAACGACACAAAGGCCCAGCTGTGTCTGTCGTGCGTGATTGACCTGTGCATCAAGTACGGCGACACGATGGACGAGGGCTGGTCGGCCACCATGGTGCTGCTGCAGGCTGTTGCCAGGCACAGGCTGCTGCCAGCGGGGCTGCGGACGCTGTTCGACTTTGTGCAGGAGGGCGGGCGTGTGCGCTACTTTGAGTCGCCCACCGCGCCCAAGGACACGCGCGCGGACACGTCCGTGCTGACTTATTTCTCGGCCCTGTTTGCGTCTGCGCCCGCGCAGAAGGAGGCGTCGCCGCTGCAGCAGCTGTGCGACGAAGCGCGGCAGGCGCTGGAGGGCACACGCCTGGACCGCCTGTTTGAGTCCACCACATTCCTCTCGCGGGAAAAGCTGCGCAGTGTCGTGCGGCTGCTGGCGTTCTGTGCCCGCAGCCCACAGCACCGCGAAGAGGGCCTGCGCGCGCACGAGAACGGCGGTGCTGCTGCTGATGATGATGATGATGGTGGTGGTGGTGGTGACGATGCTGACAGCAAGAACGCAGACGCTGTCTCCACGGTGTCGTGTCCGTCGTCGCTGCACGCCAGCACCGACAAGGTCAACGTCCCACCACCACCACCACCACCTGCAGGCAAGACAGAGGAGGGGGGCGCCAATGGCAGCGCCAGCACAATCACCAACACCACACCGTCAGCCTCAACCACAGCAGCGGCAACAAGTGATGACAATACACCAGCACCAGCAGCAACGACCACCACCACGTTCATGACTGCTGCTGGTCCCGTCACGGCCATCACGCCCACCAGCGACGGCAACACGCCGAGCCCTCCGCCGTCACTCGCTGGGGACGACAATGCAACAACAGCAGCGGCAGCGGCAGCGGCAACAACAGCAGGCAGTGGCGAGCGGACGGGTCGCAGCGCCGTGCAAGCAAACGTGGTGGCCGAGCGCTCGCAGTCTGCCGATGCAGCGGTTCATGCACCCGTGGACGGCAGCAACGACGACAGTGGTGGCAGCAATGCTGCTGATCAAGCCAGCAGCACGAAGCAAACCCGTGGCGGTGATAATACCACCACCACCAGCAGCAGCAGCAGCAGCAACAACAACAACAGCAGCACTAATAGTCACGGCCATACTAACGGTGTGCATTCGCGCTCGCGGCTACTGCCGAAAACGCTGCCCAAGTTCTCGTACACGCAGGATGCGGCGGTGTTCTTCTTGGAGATGCTGACGAACGTGGTCATCTACAACCATGCCCGCGTGGACTGTGTGTGGCACGATGTGGTGCAGCACTTCACAGAGGCACTGCAGTACTGGAAGGAGCCCGGTGTGCACGCGTCGTACCTGGCCGAGCGCACGGCCGTGTGCGTGATTCGCCTGGTGTTCCACTTTTTGCCGCAGCGCGGCACCCTATCACCCTCGCCAATTGACGTGCTGTCTGTGCTGTGCGGCGTGGACGCGTCGCCGGGCGCTCTCAAGCAGATTGCGCGCGGGCTGTACGATGTGGTGCAGACGCGGGGCGCGTACATGGACGACCAGCACGCGTGGGGCGTCGTGTTCTACCTGCTGGAGAGCTGCGGCGGTTCGGACGAGGCAAACGAGCTTGCACTTGACACGCTGTTGCAAATTGCAGGCAAGCTGACATGGCCCAACGCGCCTGGACTGGGCCGCACGCTGCTTGCCCTCGCCGAGGCGCGCACGAAACCTGTGCTGCCACGCGGCGTGCACGACACGGGGGACGAGGCCGAGATGGAGGATGCCGTTGGGCATGCGTTGCTCACCGTCGCCGTCACCGCGTTCCGATCCGTGTGGACCATCTACCCACGTCACGGTAGTGGTGGTGGTGGCGGTGCCCATGGCGATGCTGACGAGGCAACAGGTGCAGAGGCCGCAAGAAGAAGAGCAGCAGGAGAAGTGGCAGTGGACGCCGATCGGCTGTGGACGGATGCGCTGGAGAACCTGATGAAGGTGCTGGCGGACCTGTGCGTGAGCTGGAACACGCGCGTACGACAAGAGGCGAGGGACGCCTTCCACCAGGCGTGCTGCGACCCGCATCTCGCCGACCACCTGCAGCCCGAGCACTGGGGCCATCTGATTGAGCACGTAATGATCCCGCTGTTGCAGCGCCTTAACGACACGACGCTGCGCACGATTCGCCCCCGCGCGCTGGCGGAGCTGCGTGACACGTATGGTTCCCAGCTAAGCCGTGTGTTCCGGCAGCGGCTGTCGCAGCTGTGCGAGCTTGATCGCTTCCACGAGATTTGGGCGCAGGTTGTGCAGACGTTTCTTGCGCTGTACGAGAACGGCCACGAGGATGTTGTTCGCGAGTCCCTCAAGATCATCCTTCTCCTCATGTCCAGCAAGGGCGTCTTCCAGGTGCGACGCGTGGTGTATATGTGTGTGTGGGGGGGGGGTCTATGTGTGTGTGTGTATGTCTGTCTCCGTGTCTCTGAGTGTGTGTGCGTGCCGTCTTTGTATTGTATTCTGTCCAATATCCCCTTGCTCCCGACCCATCTGATTCGCCGAGCTGATTGATGCCTTACTGTTTGTTGTCTCCGGGGGTTTTTTTTTTTGCTATTGTTGCACGCTCTGTCGTCTTACCTTCGTGTCGCACACCTGTTTGCTTGGGTCGACGAAACGCAGGCGCCGCGAACCGGCCCGAAGCTGATGGCATGGACGGAACGGTATGTGAGCTCATACTCGCCTGGGCTGTACGCCTCGCTCTTTGGGGAGGACATGCACGCGCGGCCGGCAGACGTCTTTGCTGTTCCAAACCAACAACAACAACAACAACAGCAGCAGCACCAGCAGCACCAGCACCAACAGCAGCACCAACAACAGCAACAACAACAACAACAACAACAACAACAACAACAACAACAACAACAACAACAACAACAACAACATCAACAACAACAACAACAACAACAACAGCACCAGCACCAGCAGTCAGACAGGCTGCCGGAGGCGGCGCTTATGCCTGAAACAAGGACATCGTCGACGACATCTTCGTTATCAAACCCACCCCACGATGACCAACACCGACACCCGCACCAGCCGGCGTCGTTTGTGGATGCGGAAGGAAACGTGGTCGTGTCGCACGTTGGCGTGCTGCGAACACCACAAGGCCTGCCTGATTTGCGGTTACACAGCATGCCGTCCTACTCGAGCACGGCCTCCAGCCACCAGTCCCCGCCCATGTCGCCGGAACGCCAGCCTTATCCGCTACGCCCTGCTGTTCCTCGCATGACCACGGCGTCTGTGTCACCCGTGTCGTCGCCACCTCGCACGACGGGCACACCGTTGGCGCGAACGCAAGCGCCTAGCCAGCCGCCAGCATCGTGGCCACTCACCTCAACGTCGTCGGCGTCATCCTCAGCGCCCTTGCAGACACCGTACCAGGCAGTAGCACCCTTCATGATGCAGCAGCAGCAACAGCAACAGCATGGCGATGTGCGCACGCAGGCTGCGCTTGCAGCAAACGCCGCCGCAAGGCAACTTGCAGAACAACAGATTAAGCGCGTGTAGACAAGTGTTACAGAGGGCGGACGAGGGCAAAGAGCAAAGAGCAGAGAGCAAAGAGCGTTGAGGAAGCAAGATCAAGATCAGCAGGCAATTCAGAACAGCCAGTGCACGTGTGCGTGTGTGTGCGTGCGTGCGTGTGCGTGTGTGGTTGTATTTTACCCACAACAGGCAAGAAAGCCAGTGGCAAACCATAAAATACCAAACTGTGGTACACGACTCTATGTAAAATGAATTGAGGAACAGTTGCTCGGTGTAAAGTGTCCCGCAGTGCCTTTTTTTTCCCTTCCAAGGAAGCAAGACATCGACCACAACAACACGTGAGCGGAAGAGCAGGGTTACAGTGCTGGCGCTGGAGGGTGCATGGTTTTGTTGTTGTTGTTGTTGTTGTCGTTGTTGAGCTCTTTTTTGTCTTGTGCGTGCGTGCGTGCGTGCCTCATCTCTGGTCTCACACACACTCATACACGTACTCACGCACACAACCGCACACACCAACTGACGCAGCAATGGCGGACAAGCAACCGACCGGTGAAAGCAGTGGTCGCGGCCGCGGCGAGGGCCGTGGTGGCGAGGGCCGTGGCCGTGGTGGCGGTCGTGGTGGTGGCCGTGGTGGTGGCCGTGGCCGCGAGGAGCGCAAGGAGTGGAAGCCCGTGACCAAGCTGGGCCGCCTCGTCAAGGAGCGCCGCATCAAGTCCATCGAGGAGATCTACCAGCACTCCCTGTCCATCAAGGAGCCCGAGATCATCGACTTCTTCTTCGGCGACTCTCTGCAGGACGAGGTCCTCAAGATCACCCCCGTGCAGAAGCAGACCACCGCTGGTCAGCGCACCCGCTTCAAGGCCTTTGTTGCCCTCGGCGACAGCAACGGTCACCTTGGCCTCGGCGTCAAGTGCTCCAAGGAGGTTGCCGGCGCCATCCGTGGCGCCCTCCTCTGCGCCAAGATGAGCCTCCTCCCCGTGCGTCGTGGTTATTGGGGTAACATGCTTGGTGATCCCCACACCGTGCCCATGAAGACCACCGGTGTCTGCGGTAGCGTCACTGTGCGTCTCATCCCCGCGCCTCGCGGTGCCGGTATTGTTGCCGCCCCTACCCCCAAGAAGCTGCTCCAGCTCGCCGGTATCGACGACTGCTACACGGCTTCCCGTGGCCAGACCGCCACCCTCGGCAACTTTGGTACGTCCTTTGAATGACACACGTGTGCGCTTGCGTTGGATGTTTTGTGTTTGCGTTTGGTTGTTGGTGAGAGGCAAGACCCAATGTACACGCGAAGCAACAACAGCTCTGTTGCTTTCTTTGCATCGGGTCTGTGCAGCACAACACGTACTTGTTCTCTCTCCAATCTTCTCCTCTCTCCTCTTTCCTCTCCCTGTCTCCTCTTTCTCTCTTCTCTTCCTTTCTTTTTATTTGGACTCTTCTGTTTCTGGGATGATATCAAATCTTTAACCCAACTCTCTGATCTCATGCACGACAAAGTTGTGCTTTTGTGATGAGCTTTCAAGTTCTCACGACAGTCTACTGAGAAATAGCAGTGTCCTCCTCTTCTCTTGTGTCTGATCCCGTCTCTTCCGTCTCTGCTTTCCCCTTTTGTTTTTCCTCCTCCCCCCCCCCCTTCTCTCTCTCTCTCTCTTCATGTTGTGTGTGTGATTTGGGCTCTCTTCGGGGATGATGACCAAATTTTAACCCAACTCATTCTGATTTATCGCAACAAAGTTGCACCCTGTGATGAGTATCTTTCCAACTCACGACAGTCTACTGAGAACAGTAGCTCTCGTCGCACACGCGCCCTTTTTTGTTGCTGTTGTATCTTTCTGATGTGTATTTGTTTCCCCTTGACTTCCCCTCGCCACGTACCATGCATGCTTGGCGGCCTTTGCTCGTCGTCTCTCGTTGCTCGTTCTTGTTGGTGTTTCTCTCTCTCTCTCTCTCTCGCTTTTCTTCACTTGTGCTGTGGTCGCAGTTCTGGGATGATATCAAATCTTTAACCCAACTCTCTGATCTCATGCACGACAAAGTTGTGCTTTTGTGATGAGCTTTCAAGTTCTCACGACAGTCTACTGAGAACTGCTGTCCACACAAGCATGTGTTTTCTCTCTCTCTCTTCTTGCTTCTTTCTCTTTCTTCCGTGGTGTTGTTGTCTGCATCATCTGCTTTCTGCGTTGTCTTCAACTTTCATGCACTTGTGCGCCATGCAACTCACGAACCAACTCGCTCGCTCTCTGCGTGGTTTCTCCCCCCTCTCCTTTGCTCCCTTGTCCTTTTTTTCATCACCACCAACAGCCAAGGCAACGTTCGAGGCCATCCGCCAGACGTACACGTACCTGACCCCTGACCTGTGGGCAGACATGGCCATCTCCAAGAACCCCTACGTCGAGCACTCCGACTTCCTCAACAAGTCCAAGAAGAGCCGCAACTGAGTTGACTTCGCTTGCTTGCGCTTGTGATTTCGATTAAACGAGCATCGAATCTGCATCAACAATTTTTGAAAGAAAACAAGAAGCCAAACTGGAAAAAAAAAAATCGCTGGCCCACAACACGGCCACCGCCCAACAACCCTCCGCCTGTCCAATCCAATCCGTCCACCCACACCACCTTCCACCTTCGGCCTCCTCCCTCCCCTCTCTATCCTGTCCTTCTTTCCATTGCGCACAACGCATCGCACCCTGTGGCTGTGAGGGAGCGAGGGTGGCTTCGTTTTAGTGTTGGTGGTAAGCCCACGTTGGCATTTGCCGTTTTGGGCTGTGAGATTGGCAACGCTTGCTTGTTTGTTTGCTGGCTGGCTTGCTTGGTGAGTGGTGGTGGTGCATGACGAACGTCTGTTGATCCTCCTTGTCCTCCGTCACCGCAATGTCGGGGAAAACTTGTGATGCTGGCGTACTCACCTCCGCTTATGACCACCTTGTGCGTGTTTGTGTCTGTGTGTGTGTGTATGTGTGTCTGTGCCTATTTGTTTGTGTCTGTGCGTGTATGTGTGCCTATGTGTGTGTGTGTGGTGTGGTGTGTGTCTGGGTGTCTGGGTCTGTCTGTCTGTATGTATGTCTGTCTGTGTCGGTGTAGGCAAGAGCCAGAGGGAACCGTCCGCTGGGCGTGTCGTTGTTTGAGTGGGTGTATGTGTGTGCATGATACAGAGGATCAACTGCACAGATGGATCCGGATGACGTTCGCCTCAAGCTGGCAGTGGTGCGGGAATTGAAGGCACTCAAAGTGAACGTTGGAAGGCTATGCAGAAAAGACACAAAGGTGTGTGTCTGTGTCTGTGTCAGTGTCTGTGGGTGCGTGTGGATGTGTGTCTGTGTGTGTCTGTGTGTGTCTGTGTCTGTGGGTGCGTGTGTGTGTGTGTGTGTGTGTGTCTGTGTGTCTGTGCGCCTGTGTGTCTGTGTGTCTGTGTACCTGCCGATGTGTGTGATCGAGGTTGTGGTTGCGCATCAACTTGATGCACCAAAGAGCAGCTATTGCTCATCGAGCTCGGTCGCACGCCTTCATGCTGTGCGTTGCAGTTGGCTGGACAAAGAACAACGCCATTGCCGTCAGGCCAGGTGTTCGGTGTTCCGCTGATTGAGCTGGTAGCAAAAGGTGCAACTGAAGACGTGGATGGGCTCGTCGTACCGAGGTGCGTGCGAACGACTGCTCGTGTGTGTGTGTGTGTGTGTGTGTGTGTGTGTGTGTGTGTCG